GAAGGTATGAAACTAGTTGTCATCAAGTCACTTCCAACTCATTGAAGCCCATGTGTGTCAGAGTAGAACTGTACTCCATAGGGTTTTCAACGGCTGATGTTTCAGAAGTAGGTTGCCAGGCCTTTCTTTCGAGGTGCCTCTGGGTAGACTTGAATCTCCTACATTTTAGTTAGTAGCTGTCTTGGTCATCTAGTGCTGCTATAACAGAAATACCACAAGTTGATTGCTTTAACAAAGATAATTTTATTCTCTCACAGTCCAATAGGCTGGAAGTTCAAATTCAGGGCTCCAGCTCCAGGGGAAGGCTTTCTTTCTCTGGCAGCTCTGGAGGAAATTCCTTGTCATCAGTCTTCCCTTGGTCTGGGAGCATCTCAGCGCAGGAACCTCGGGTCCAAAGGACGCGCTCTGCTCCCGGCACTGTTTTCTTCGTGGTATGAGGTCCCCCTATCTCTCTGCTCACTTCTCTCTTTTATATCTCAAAAGAGATTGGCTTAAGACACTATCTAATCTTGTAGACCTCATCAGTATAACTGCTGCTAATCCGTCTTATTACATCATAGTGATAGAATTTATAACACACAGGGAAATCACATCAAATGACAAAATGGTAGACAATCACACAATACTGGGAATTACGACCTAGCCAGTTGACAGACATTTTTGGGGGACACAGTTCAATCCATGTCAGTAGCCAAGCACGTTAACTGTTAGCGCCACCCAAGGACTCTTCACAGAAATGCAGTAGGGTTCAAATGGAGTAAAACATAAGACAGCAGTTAGTAAACTGGAAAACAGTGTTTCTCAAGTCTGGCTGCCAGTAAAATTACTTGGAGACTTTTGAAAATCCTGATGCTCAGGCCATACCCAAGATTAATTAAATCAGAATCTCTGGGAATGGAACTTAGGCATTAGTAGTTTTTAAAGCTTTTCAGGTGCTTTCATTGTGTAACCAGGGTTGAGTACTGTTGAACTAAAATAATTATTAGTTAGATTCCATGTGGTTATAGAAAAAGTGGGTTTGACTTAAGGCAGATCTGGAAGCCAATTTTTTTAAAAGGGCCCATTAACCTAAGAATTGGAGTTAAAAGCTAGAGTTGGCCAACTTTGGAGTGAAATATAGTCTACACAACCAGTTAATAGTTTGTTTAACAGTGAAGCTAGTTTAAGAAACAGGTTTGTGTACTTAAAATTAAATAATTAAAAAATTAATTAATTTGTGTACTTAAAATTAATCTCTTTTCCCAAAGAGATCCTAGGGAGGAACATGAGGGAAATGCAACTGGTAGACTTAGTGTTTCTGGATTTGCTAAGGTCCTGAAACTGCTCGGGATGCCTCTGCATCAACTGTGGGCTAATTTTATCATATATGATTTTATTATTCATGAATTTATCATGAATCTATAATTGAATATACTTACTAAATAATTATAGCCTGGAGAGTGATTCTTAAATACATGTCACACGGAACTGTTGTTCATTTTGAGCAGTTTCCCCCGATTATATCGATGATGGTTAAGCCTCCACGCTGGTGGTACTGAGCTGGACCTTGGTGGAGGTGAGAGATAAAAAAGATATTGCAAAGCAAATCAGGACCCAAAGACATCTGGGTAGCCAGAGACAGTGGACAAAGTATAAAAAGGTAAAGCTTTTCACTAGTCCCCCTCCTCCGCTTCCCACTGCCCCAGCTCTAAGAAAAGAAATCAAGTTAAAATCCCAAAACCAATTCCATAAATCCGGGATGGTAGGACAATAATAAATAGCAGCACTTGCCAAAAATATGATGAATTCTGTATGAATCAGCCAAGTGACTCAGCCTGTAATTAAAGCTTATTTAGAGTGTTTAGGGCAAGGAAATGAGTGGTCCTGCTCTGTTCTATGAGCCCTCACCCACATACACATTAGCAGGCCCAGTGCTGGGCCCAGGGCTTTAAGAGGGACAAGGTCCATGTGATGGTTAAGATTGTATATCAACTTGGCTGGGCCATGAGCCTCAGTGGTTTGGTAGTTATGAATTGATGTAATTTGGCAGTTATGTAATGATGTAGTCATCCTCCATGATGTGATCTGATATGATCAACCAATCAGTTGTAAGGGAGTTTCCTCAGGGGTGTGGCCTGCATCCTATATAGATAGACAGATAGATAGATAGATAGATAGATAGATAGATAGATAGATAGATAGATAGATAGATAGATAGATAGATAGATAGATAGATAGATAGATAGATGTTCTGGCAAAGCTCATTTGCTTGCTCTGGATCATGCATCTGACCTCTGGTTCTCTTGGGACTTGAGCCAGTGGTCTGCCATATCACCTGCCAATCTTGGGATTTGTCAGCCTGCATAGTCCATGAGTCAGCAGCCTGCTGTCTAACCTACTAATCTTGGATTTTTCAGCCCCTGCAGCTATGTGAGTCAGGAGAAGCCTCCAGCATGACATCTAACACAAGAAATTAGGACTTACTGGCCTCTACAACCCTGTGAGCCATTTCCTTGAGATAAATCTCTCTCTCTCTCTGTTTCACTGGTTTTTCTTCTCTAGAAAACCCAGCCTGAGACAATCCAGAAAACCAAAGGATTGGGAAAGAATCTGCAGAGAAGTACATGGCAAGGAGCTACAAGCCTGGAGATCATTTGGAAGAAGCAGACCTTCAAATACTGGAAGGGCTATCAGAGGAGAGATGGATTGGATTTCTCTGTGTGACTCCAGAGGACAGAACTAGGCTTGGCGGCTAACCCTTACAGGAGCTAGACTTTGATTTAACATAAGAAGGTCCCAACTGTATAAACAGTTTTACTAGAGAACTGTTGTATAGGAGATAGTGAGCTCCCAGTTATTGGTGGTATTCAAACAGAGGCAGGATGACCAGATGAGGCTTTTGTGCTGAATCAACACAGCTTCACTGTTTAATCATGCTGTTAGCTAGCTATATGGTCTGTGTTGATTGTGGTCTATATTGTGTGAGGGCTGAACCAATTGACCTCTATGATCTACTTATAATATTCAAAATCCAGTGATGCATTTATGACACTTTCAGAATTCATACTTTTTTTTCTTAAAGTTTAATATTCTAAACCTTGTTTTTGGAGTAATCAAATAATCATTCCCAGTGGACCACAGTCATGGCTGTGAATATGTTATTTTGTCCCTAATCCTTTCTTCCTTTCCTCCCTTTCCCTACTTTAGCTGACTAAAGCTGATCTCCCTGCCTGCCCTCTAAAAGTCAGACTTTAAAAAATATAGTTGTCATATATTTATGTCTCCTGCGCTGGATCCTGGAGAAGTTGCAGGACAGATAAGTTACAAGGAGTGAGCTCAAAAATAATTCTTCTGACTCAGACTTTGATACGATGAGGAGGCAGTTTCCATAGAAAATGCAGCTGTTACTGACAGACTTTTTTTAAGGAAAATAAAATGAAACCTCTTCTTGGGGAAAAAGATTGCTCCAAGATCTCTCAGGATTTTATTTCTACTGGACGGAGCTTTTTCTCACACTTGGCATTGAATCAGGTTAAGTTGAAGAGGACCTTCCAAATCCCTCATTGAATAGATTGAAGAAACTGAGGCCCAGAGAGGCAAAGTGATTGGTGCAAAGTTACTCAGCTCCTCCAGGCAGAGCTGGGACTGTAACCAGACTCCCATTCTCCCGGCCCAAGCTCTTCCGCTTCTTCACATGCCTAGAAGCTACCTCTAGGCTGCATCCTGCATCTGTAAAGGAAGGCAAGAAAGAGATGGGGTCCTGGTTGTACTTTGGACCTTGGGCAACCAGGGGCTGGGTCTCAAGGCTGGACCTCAATAGTCATGAAAAGGAAAATTCAGCCCCTGACCATATAGCTCTCCTCTAAGCCCTTTCATTTCACACGGTTTTCAAAGTGTGGCACTCCAAAGCAGGTTGTTTTATACCTGCCCCACCCATCCCGCTCCCATCAGTGTGAGAGCAGCCTTCCAGCCCCTTGCCTTCTTTCCTGTTGCTCAAATACTCTAGAGGTCCAGAGTAAGTGGCTCAGCTTCTTCGCCAAGAAGAGGGACTTCTGGGTTAGTCCTCTCTAACAGGGGCTGGAGTGGTTGTGACAGGAGACAGCTCCCACCTCGCTGTCACATCAGTCAAAGCCCCTGACCAAAGTGAGTCCACAAACAAGTTTCCTGCTTTCAGAAGGGCCTTGTGGCAGATGGAGAGGAGTGAACCCTCTTGGGTTTGCTGCATAATTTGTGATGACCCAGTGCAAAATGAAAATGTGGGGCCTGTCATTCAAAAATTAAAATTTCAAGACTGTGGGAGCAGTACATTAAAACAAGCTGAGGGCCGCATGGGTCCCATGCAGCCAGCCCTGCTTGGCTGGGTACCTGGTGGATGGGGACAATAATTTCGTATGTTTTTTGACCCAAGTAGCCTGGAGAGGTCCTCTGGTTGCCCAAATTTCTACTCTGTTGATTCCTAAACAAATTTTTGTTTCCTCATAGCCCAGGAGGTCTGGGAAGGGACCACCAGGTCAATGCGGTGGCTCAGGGAGTCAGGATTTCAATAATTCACTCTTTTCCTTCTCTAGCACAACCACGTCTCAACCCCACTCATTATTTCTGACACTTTACGACTTAAATGGGACAAGAGAAGTGGTGCGTTTTCAATGTGAATAATATTGTTCAACGAGACAAGGGAATTGTGAAATTTTATTTTGAACTGAGAACCAACCAGGAGCGCAGAGGACATGACACTAACTCTGTGGAGAAGGGCGCTGTGGGTAAGAAAGGCGCCCAGATATGCACATATTAACTAAAGCTCCCTCCTGAGGTGCGGTCCTCCTGCTTTGAACTTCCCGGGAGCCCTGCGCTGCGGCACCTCCGGGTCTAAGGAACTTGCGCGCCATTCGCGGTGCCCATGCGCCCCCTGGAGTCTCCCGCCTGGTACAGCACCGTCCGCCCCTCCACCCACACCCAGCGCGAACTTCCAGAAAGCTCCCTGCGCATTTCACTGCATTCTTTGGGCTTGAGTCATGCAGGTTTGCAGCCAGCCCCGGAGGGGGTGTGTGCTAGACAGAGCGCTATAAATACTGGCGCCCTCAGTGTGCTCACGACGCAGCCTCGCCGCGAGGAAGAGAACACAGAAGCCCGGTGCCAAGGACCGGTGAGACGTACTTCCCGATCTTTCTTACCCCTGTGCAGAACCTATACCAGGACGGATGGGCGGGCGGGAGGTGGCAGCTATTCGGGGAGAGGATGACAGGGATGTCAGAGCTGGGCTTAAGAGGGCGTAAGGGAGGCCCAGGAACGGAGGTGGCCGGAGCCCGTCACAATGCAGCTGATCCAGGTGCTGAATTGCTGGGGCCTTGGGATGCCAGGGCGGCGCACAGGCTGGGCCTCGGGAATTCCTGTGCTCATTAGCTCCAACCACAATTGTCAGGTGTAATGAGCCTCTTTTACAAAGATGGGGAAACTGAATCTTGGAGAACGGACTTAGATTGCCCCAGTCCACAGAGCTAGTGAGTGGTGGAGCTGGGGCCAGCCTGCAGGCCTTTCCTGCCCCATCTTCCCGGTGACAGTGCTGATCTCGGTTGTAGTTGTTGGTTTGCAGGTATGAGTCATCTTGTTATCTGTATTCTGCAGTTCTCTGGATGATGTGTTTGTAAGTATGATGCTTTGGATTTATATATATGCTGCAATCACCTGCTTCCTAATGCACCCAAGGTGCATGGGAGAAAAGGCACACAACCCTCCTCAGATCTCGGATGTCTAATACAGCCGTCTCATTTTATAGATGACTCCCTGAGGCCTAGAGGTTTAGGACTTTATCTAAAATTAAGCAGCAAATAAAAGTCAGAATTGGTACGAGTACCGAAGCCTTCTTGACCTTCCAGAATTTTTGGACCTAATAAAAAAAGCTGACTTTTTTAAAAAGGAATTTTTTAAGTCCTTTAAATTTAATTTAAAAAGGTTTTAGGAATTTAAGAGTAAGTATAGATAGGTATTGTAGAAGGATACTCATGAGAGTGTTAGTTATAATAGTAGGGAATTAGAAACAACTTAAATGCCCGAATTTATGGGACTGGTAAAATAAACTAGGGTACATCAGAAAGTAGAATATTATACAACCATAAAAATATGCTTTTAAAGACTATTTGAAGACAGTAGATGTAAAGGATCTAATTGTATAAAAATGCATAGAAAATAGGACATATTAAAAAATATTAATATTTGCCTCTGGGTAGTTTGACTTATGGATGAATCATTTTCTCATTTTTCTTTTTGGTTTTGGTTTTCAATATTTAGGGAGGCGGTAAGATAGGCACTTGGGTTCTGGCACCAGACCTAGGCTGCGGCTTTTGAGCTGTGTGACCTTCTCACTTTATGGTCTCTGGGTCCTCGCCACCACTCCTCTGCACTTTCATTGATCTCTTTAAGCCTCTAATCCTGCCCTGCTGGGGCACCTTCTGGCTTTGGAGGTGGTGCTTGGGAGACTTATAGGGGTTGGTGAGTAAAACTGTCTGAGGAGGGTGTTCCTGGAGGAAAACTGCCCTCACAGTCAACCTTATGCTCCTCTGTCCCCTTGTCCTCCTTCCCTTTTAAAGCTCCATAGCCCACAGGGCCAGCTTTTGCTAATGAAGGAACCAGACCAGGTGGTTTAAGCCTCCTATAGGGTCGCTATGAGTCAGAATCAACTCCACAGCATTGAGTTTTCTTTTTCTTTTGGTTGGGTGGAAGAAGGCTGCAAAGTAGTGGTGGGGGGAAAGGAGGGCCTTGGTGTGGCTCAACCAATCAGAGCAGGTGGCAGGCCCAGTGGCTAGGAGCTGACAGAGGAAACAGCAGAGAGGGTGGGCAGTTGGGCTGTGCAGCCATTGCTGTAGTGCTGGCTTTGGACCAGCAGTATCAATATCATATGCAAACTCGTTAGAAAAGCAGAGTGTGGAGCTTTGCCCTAGACCTACTGAATCAGAATCAGCATTTTAACAAGGTCCTCCGGTGATTCTTAGGCACTTTAAACCTTGAGAAGCCCTGAGCAGATAATTGGGAGTAGCCCATAGTTTCTCTAAGGCAAAGCCACACAGACAGAGCAGGGACCACAGGCAGCCTATCTGTGCCTGTTTTGGTTCCTCTACCCCTCTACAGACACATTACCTCCTCCATATATTGCCAATGAACAGAACTGGTTCTAAGTCAGATTATCAAGTAGTTAGAATTTACGATGATTATATAAGCCCCTCATGTTTATAAAACACACATCTCTGAAGTATATATTATGTCCATTTTACAGATCAAGAAACTGAGGCTCAGAAATTTAAGTGACTTGGTGTCAAGGAAAGAACACTGGACTGGGAGGAGTTGGGAGGGCTGCATTTTCATCCTATGGTTGCCACAAACTTGCTGTGGGCCTTGGGGAGTGCCATCCTATCTGGGTTTCAACATCCCCTCTAAGGCAGAGGAGTTGGGCAGGAATGATTTCTTTCCAGCTCTGAGCTTGAAGGCTCACCGAGATCCCCAGGCTGTGGTGGGAGACCCTGTATGAGCTGCTGAGTCTCTGGATTCCTCATCTAGTACTCTTGCCTTTGACTGTTCTGCCTCCCCTTTTTTCAGGGCCTCACACACTCTCTCTGGTCAGAACCTACTTCAGAGGATCTCGTATGGATTTCTCAGGAGTTGTTGCTGTCAGGGGCCTCTCCCAGAGAGGTATTTCTTGCTCCCTTTATCTCTCTGGCGTGACAAAGGCTCTGTCCCTGCTTAAGGCATTTCAGGCTTCAGTGAGCAACACAGGCAGAGCCTGTTAAGACAGGACCTTGCCCGTATGCCTGAAATAGTACCGTCTTCAGCCACCCGCCCTGTCTTTGGGGAAGGTGATGACCCTCTGTTTTCCCACATTCTCTTTCACTGTGTGAGTTTGCTTTAAGAACCATAACTTGCACATCTTATTAACTGCTTTTCAAGAGAGGCTTTCTTTATTGCTGTTCTACCAAGTGTACAGATGGCTCTGGTGATTGGAGAGCGGTTTTTTGATCTGAGCAATTTCAGGAAGGGAGAGGATCCCCCTTTCCCTTGTGTTATAGGAAGTGGGTACGCTTAGATAAGCAGTGGAGTAGGGAAGTGGGGAGGGTTTCTGCTTTGTGCAACATCTTGAGTCCTTCGTGTAAGACTGGGGCTGTGGGCCAGATTCCCTGGCTAAGGGCAGCCAGCATAGTGGTGGCAGAAGCACCTTATCAAGAAACATGGATCTGGGGTTAGTGGGAAGGAACATTTGAAAAGGAGCCTGGGAAAGCAAAAGGACGTGTCCTCCCAAGGCGACTTTTCCTAAGAACTGTTGGGGCCCAAGTCTGCTCCTTGGACTCACTGTTAACCCTTTGCCTTTGCTGTTCCCCTCCTTCATTCTTCCCTCTCTACTCCATGCAGAGCATTTTCCTTGCTGTATTCTTTATTTATACTCCTGAATGCACGTGCAGCCTGGCTCAATTCCCAAATGAGTTTAATTTCCCGTACCAACACAAAGGGTTAGTTGTTACTGCCTCTTTTTTTTTTCCTAAATTTTATTTATTTTGTTGCTGTTGCTGAGAATATACACAGAAAAACACACCAATTCAACAGTTTCTACATGTAGAATTTAGTGATATTGATTACATTCTTCAAGTTGTGCAACCGTTCTCACTCTCCTTTTCTGAGTTTTTCCTCCCTCGTTAACATAAACTCACTGCCCCCTAAGGTTCCTATCTAATATTTTGAGTTGCTATTCTCAGTTTGATCCCATATAGAGAGATCTTAAAAGAGCATTATGTTCAAAGTAGGCCTTTTTTACTAGTTAAGCTAAACTATTGTTCAGTTTTAACATGACTTCAGGGGATATTTTTGGTTTTAGGTTTAAAGATTATCTCAAAGCAAAGGTTTCAGGGGTTCATCCACCCTCCATGGCTCCAGAAAATCTACAGTCCATGAGAATTTTAAATTCTGTTCTGCACTTCCTCCTTTTTAATCAGGATTCTTCTACGGAATCTTTGATTAAAACATTCAGTAATGGTAGCTGGGCATCATCCATTTCTTCTGGTCTTATGGCAAAGGAGGCAGTTGTTCATGGAGGCAATTAGCCACACATTCAATAACCTCCTATTCCTGATTCTCCTACTTCCTCCATTGCTCCAGGTGAATAGAGATCAATTGTTGTGCCTTGGAAGGCCACTTGCAAGCTTTTAAGACCCCAGGCACTACACAATGAAATAGGAGGTAGAACAGAAGCACTGAACAAGTTTGTTAGGCCAATTAACAGGGATGTCCCATGAAACCATGACCCTAAACCTCCAAACCAAGGAACCAAATACCTCCCATGAGGTATTTAGTTGTACATAAGCAGCCTCAGTAGCTACTTTTTTTTTTTTGTCATTGCTGTAAATATATCTATCACACAACTTTTGTCAATTCAATTTTTTACAGGTGTACAACTTATTGACAGCAATTACAGTAATTGGCTGTTCAGCCCTACCCTTAATCAATGCAATTTTTCCATCACCGTTAACCTCCCTTTCCCCCCTCCCTCCCACCCTTGGTAACGCTAATAAACTCTGGCCTCTATACATTTGCCTTTTCTTATCTTTTTATATAAGTGCGGTCATACAGTATTTGTTCTTTTGTGATTGGCTTATTTCACTCAGCATAATGTCTTCAAGCTCCATCCATATTACAGTATATCAAGACTTCATTTCTTCTACCAACTGAGTAGTATTCCATTGTATGTATGTACCACATTTTGTTTATCCAGTCATCTATTGATGGGCATTTAGGTTGTTTCCACCTTTTGGCTATTGCGAATTTATGAATAGTGTTGCAATGAACATAGGGGTCCAAGTCTCTTTTTGAGTCTCTGCTTTCAAGTCTTTTGAGTATATACCTAGGAGTAGAATTGCTGAATCATATGGTAGTTGTATTTTTAGTTTTTTGAGGAAATGCCACACTGTTTTCTACAATGGCTGTACATTTTTCATTCCCACCAGCAACGGATAAGGGTTTCAGTTTCTCCACATTCTCACCAACATTTGTTACTGCCTCTTGAAAAGACATTTTAGGTGGCATGGAAGCTCAGTGGGGGAAAAATGCTGTGATTGATTAGTAATGTCTGCTGTGGGTAAGGACTAGTGATGCCAATAGCACTGTGGGACTTATCAGAGCTCTGGGGTGTGGTCCCCACTTTAGGGGGAAGCAGGGAGCGGGTGAACGAGTGATCAAAGGGAGGTGTTTTCAGTGTTTGATATGAGTACGTATCATCAGATAGACTTACTTTCTACACAAGGAGGCCAAGATACAGAAAGCTTTTGTGTCTTGCTTAGGCACATATAGCTATTATGAGGAGAGGAGGGCTTGGGATTGAGCCCAGGTCCCTTGACTCCTGGATCTTGTTTCTTCTATATTATGCTGCTGTCCTGTAGTTCATGCCTTGTACCTACTGCCTTCACTTCCAGTGAAAAGTCTGGTCTTTTCTACCACTTTCCCCTGGTATAAAAATACAGTGACAACAACAGCCTCTGAGCTCTGTATTCCTTGGAAGCTGCTGCTGGTGGCACCAGGCTGGGCAGAAAGCTGGCAGGCTGACTAGCCTGTTACCATGACATTTTCCTGTTCTCTACACACAGGGACGTGCTAGGATTCCAGAAGGAGAAGAAGGCAAGATGAAGACTCTTATTCCTCTGCTACTTCTGGGGCTGCTGCTGACTGGGGAGAAAGGACAGGTCCTGGGAGAAGAGACCATCTCAGCCAATGAGCTCCAGGGTAAGTAGGCAAAGCATGATATCCCTCAGCCATGTAGGGAGGCCCCCCATAGCACAGTTCCTGGCCCAGAGCCAGTTCTCTGGCTGAATAACTCTCTGTCAAGACCCCAAGTGTTAGAGACCATTTGTATCTCGTGCGTCTGGGCTGATTTCCCTCTCTCAGCCTCCGCTCTCTGGCTTAGGCTCTTGTAGTCAGGTTGGCCTCTAGATGTTTCCCAGCAAGGCCAAGCCCTTTCTGGCTGCTGCATTTCATTCAGTTCCCAGTCCCCTTGGTTGGCTATATCCTCCTTTACCTTTGAGGCCTGGCTCCCACTCCCTCCTCCATGCAGCTGCCCCTGGACCTTTTGAGCCTTTATTGATCTCCCCTTTTTGTATTTCCTTAGTGCTTACCACATGGTTCAATCCTCCACCTTTCCATTCAGACAATCATGCTTCAGATCCTCAGCTCACAAGAGCAGGAAGGAGATATGCAGTTTAGTATGAGGAATAGTCATCCTTCAGAGCTCAGCTTGGTGGGCTTTTCTGCGAGGCCTTTCCTGAAACCCATCCTACCTCCACTCCACCCTCCTGATAGCTGACCAGTTCTTCTGGGCTGGTGGTTAAAAGCCCAAACTTTGAGGTCGGCCCTGGGTATGAGTCCTGGCTCCACCACTGCCTAGCCATATAACTCTGGACACGTATCTCAATCTCAATTGCGCTTCCTTCTCCTCATGTGTGAAATGGGGATGATGATGGTGCTGGGAATATTAAAGAAAATGCACATGAAGTGTCAGCTCAGTGCTTGGCACTCTACTAGATAAGTGTGGGCTGTTACCCCTTGTGTGCTTGGATTACACATCTCTCATTGCATTTGTCACAATAACAGTGTTGTGTCTTGATCACAATCTCCTTGAGAAGCTCAAAGCCAGACCCACTGCTGTCAGCCAATTCCAACTCATAGTGACCCTATGGGACAGAGTAGAACTGCCTCATAGGGTTTCCAAGGCTATCAATCTTTACAGAAGCAGAATGCCACATCTTTCTCCTGTGCTCCTTGAGGAAAGGTGCTATTAATTCATCTTTGCATCCCCATTACCTAGCACAGCGCTTTGGAACAAAGAAGTACAAATGTTTAAACTGAATTCTAGAAACATTTGTATCCAAAATAACAATATTTATGTTTTAATGCTATAAAGGTTGTACTTCATTTTTTTTTTTCTTCCAGATTTTCTTCTGTAGCCTGGTTCATTCTCTAGAGCTGCAGCGCAATGGTTGGACATAGTGTGCTGTCACTCCCCTGGGGGTACTGGCTCCCAATGGTTTGTGTTTCTGAGCAGTCAGATGTCATTGACTCTTGGGCCCTGCCTCCTCCATGTGTGAAATACAGTGAACCCTGTGATGGGAATCTGTTAGGCAAGGCTGGAGCCAAAAGGCTGCCTACCAGGGGGGTCCCAGCCTTGACAGCCCCAGGCGAACATGACTTCTGCTTATTTCAGCTGGTACCATGGTTATATCCCCAACACCATCTCTTCCTCCTGCCTTATTCTACCTCTCTGCCCTTCTGTTGCAGAAATGTCCACCCAGGGGAGTAAGTACATTGATGAGGAAATTCAAAATGCCCTCAAGGGGATGAAAGAGATAAAGAACCTAATGGGACAAACAGATGAAGAGCGCCAGACACTGCTGAGCACCTTAGAGAAAGCTAAGAAGCAGAAAGAGGTAAGGATGAGCCAGGCAACCACAGCTGCTGCTTTGAACAGCCCTGCTGGAGGGGAGGGAGGGATAATCCATAATCTGTGGGGTGCCTTGCTGGGTTGCCATGGTGACCCTTAGTCCACCCAAGACTGAGTCAGCTGATTCTGGGGCTATAATGAAGTAATAGAGAAGGTTTATTATCTTTTGAAAGCTTCGGGGGATAAGATCCCGAGTCTGGTTTTGTTACAGATCTGACCCAGGGCCTGATGCCCAGATTCACTTCAATTGCTTTTTCTAAACCCCTACCATGTGTAAGCTCCAAGTTAGGCTTTGGATAGAGTGGTGTCCAGGGTGAGGAGAGGGATGAAGCCCTACTTGCAGGAAGATTATCGAGTAGGGGGGATATGGTTGGGGTTAAGATAAGCACACACTAGGTTTCCTCATGTCTTTTCTAGAGTTGTAGACTACTTCATAAAGACACACCTTAAGTCTTAAAGCGAGCATAGCAGTTCTTAAAAAAAAAAAAAAAACATAAAAAAATAGTGACCGTGGAGTCTATTCCAACTCATGGTGACCCCGTGCGTATCAGAGTAGAACTGTGCTCCATAGAGTTTTCAGTGACTGATTTTTCAGAAGTAGATCAGCAGGCCTTTCTTCTAAGGTACCTTGGAGTGAACTTGAGCCTCCAACCTTTCAGTTAGCAGCCAAGCAAGTTAATCATTTGTACCACCCAGGCCTATGCTTAATGATTCTAGAAAACCAGAATACCATAATCCAATAAACAACTTATTTTAAAAATCAATAATCTCTTTAAAGGTATCCTAAATACCAACTCCTATTACCACCCTACCCCTTATGGAGGAGATACTAGGATGTAGGTAATCAAGAGATGCTAGGATGGGGCCACCTGCCACCCTGATGATCCATAGTGCATGGTAAAAACATTTCAAAAGTCTAGAAATCTTGCAGTAAAGAAACATGTGTAACTTCATTTAACCCAGTGTTTTCCAAATCTAACTGACCACAGAATCCATTTTTTCCTGATTACTTTAAACACAATTTCACTGAAGCCACTTAAGGAAATGCAGGCCTAGATGCAGCTCTAACTTTTCTTTGAAATTTAAAGTCTTTTCTTGGCATTGATATTAGCTCTCACCATTGTATGAGAATCCTCAATAACTCATGGAGAAGGGGCAAGTCTTGTTCCCAGTTTTTTGTGGTTATCATTGGTGTTTGATATTTGACAATCCTAGTTTATTATAAACTACATCAAGTTTGGAAGACTCCATTACTTCTGAGTTGAAGAATATGTGAACCAGAAAGACAGGAAGTGAGCATTGTAGTTGACACTTGTGTCTTGGGTCCACGGGAGGTGTGGTGTCCTTCCCCACCATGGAGCAGGGGACAGGGAGAGCAGGATGAAGATGCTGCACAGCTCCAACTTCTCCCGAATCAGGTCTTCATGGTGTAGCTTTGCTTTGGGGTGTGGACAGTTTATTTAATATTTTCTTGATGTACACTCATTTATAGAGATGTTAATATAGAAAAGTAGAAGAGAAAAAAAAGTTTTTCTATCATCCTTTCACTTAAGGACAATTCACTATTACTTCCTATTACCTTTTTTTCTCTTTTTTTGACAGTGGCTATATTCAAAATTACGAATTTTTAACATGAAAAATGCATATTATAATATTTTGAACATATTATAAACATCCCTTGTAATGGTGCAATTCTATACCCTTTGTATGTACTATAATTTGCTTAACTTGTCCTCTACTTTTGAATATCTGGGTGGATTCCAGTATTTTTTGCCATAAACTAACACTATAACAAATGCACTTAGACATAAGGATTTTTTTTTGTTGTTTTAATTACAGAATTCCTTGGGATAGATTCTTATAGAATTACTGGGTCAAATGATACGGGCATGTTGACGAGTTTTGATAATTGTAGTGATTTTGGTTTTGAAAGTTTGTCTATTCCCATTGCATGCCAGGGGCTGTAGAGGTACAATAGAAAAATAAGACTCAGGGAGCCTCTGGCTGCTTTGGAAGACAGCATTTAAACACTAGAAGTTGAGAATAGAAGATTAGATATAAGTGAGATATAAGACTGTGAATACAATAAGTCAGAGAAAGGAAATGTTCATGGGCTGTAGTAGTTGGGAAAGACTTCAAGGAACAGTCGGGTCTTGGAGGATGAGAGGATTTTTGTAGACAGGTGGGGAGGGAATTCCAGGTAGGGAAATGAAGGAAAACATGAGCCAAAGCAGGGTGGGAATCAACATGCTGTGTTGGTCAGACAAGAGAAAGATCTGCCTGGGCCGTGGAGGGGCCAGGCATTGCACACAGCACTGCTTGAGAGGGGGAGGGAGGTGTTTCCGAGTGGCTAACCTAGCCTATATCCTCCTGTAGGATGCCGTAAAGGTGACCAGGGATACTGAAATGAAGCTGAAGGCATCACCAGAGGTGTGCAATGATACCATGACAGCTCTCTGGGAGGAATGTAAGCCCTGCCTGAAACAGACCTGCGTGAAGTTCTACACTCGCATCTGCAGAAGTGGCTCTCCTGCTGTTGGCCACCAGGTGAAAGGGGAAATACTTCTTAGGCACAGCCTTGGCTCTGAGTGAGGAATAAGGGCTTGAAGAGACAGATCTCTGCCCTTAAGTGGGTCACCTTTTAGTTTCTGGTCTTATTCCAAGGCAGATTAAAGTAGGGCTGTGTAGGGAAGCCCCAGGGTGAGTGGGAGAACAAATGCTTCCTAAGCTTTGACCACAGACCCAGGCCCTTGTTGGAGGAAGCATCAGTCAGGAGAGAGGTAGACTTTACCTTTTCTCTCAGTATGGTAGTCCAGGGTAAATATGCTTCATTTCCCATGCCACATACAATTGATTAGGACTGACTGTATCTGGGCCCAAAGTGTCATAATCAATTGGCAATGTATGCTATGAGTATAGAAACATGAAGTAAAAGCACCTGTGCCAGCTATTTGCCATCTCTTAGTAGACTCTTATCCAACAGTAATTAGCTAGATAACATAACTAATGGTTTCACAGTATGGCAGAGCCTTTTGTCCACGTAGGCAGAAGGAAGGAGTTTGAGTATTTGGTTGGGACTCAGATGAATTTTGCCATTCCCTGAAGGCATATCAATTGGCCCTCGGTCCAGCTTGAGTGGATCTTATTGGTGGCCAAAGATGACTATGACAGACCTCACAGGTGTCTCTAAGCTCTTCCATACTGGAGGAGGTAGAATGGAAGGGCATTGGCATTGGCCTGACAGTTTGGATACCTGGAGGCCAGTCCCAGCTGGGCCTTTGGTCACTTGCTGTGTGACTATGAGGAGACTGAGGTACAGCGAAGAGCGAGGCCTGGCCTGTCTCAACAAAAGGGAGCCGCTGCGGCCTTTGGCCTTAGTGAGCCTCTCCTAATCATGGCCTATTTTGGTTCTTGCAGCTTGAGGAGTTCCTGAACCAGACTTCTCCCTTTTACATCTGGATTGATGGCGACCGCGTTGACACCCTGCTGGAGAACAACCAGGAGCAGACCCACATGCTGGACGACATGGAGGACAGGTTCAGCCAGGTGTCCAGAGCGATGGACAAGCTATTCCAGAGCAGGCTCTTCAGCTTCGAGCCCCCGAAGCCTTTCTTCCCCTTTCCCTTCAGCTCATTCCGTGACAATTCTTTTCATAAGCCCCGCTTTCTCTATCCCAAGTCCCGTGTGGTCCGGGACACAGTGCCTTTCTTCATTCATGAACATCTGAACTTCCCAGACTTGTTCCGGCCCTTCTCTGACCTGATACGGCAGGCTCAACAGGCCATGGATATCTCCCGCCTGATGGGGGACTTTGCAACAGGTTTGAAAGATGTCTTGTTCTTCATAGGAAGGGATGGGAACTAACAGTTTGTGGAGCACTGAGCACTCTCATTAGATGCTATGAACTGTACCAGGTGGCTTTGTGGGTGTCATCTCAAATTTTCTCCAGCAACCCTGGGAGGATGGTATTACCCCCATTTAAGCAGGAGAAAACTAAGACAGAGAGGTAAAGGAATGTGTCCAAGTTTCACAGCTGATAAAGTGGAATCAGTCAAACCTAGCATTGTAGGCTTGGAAGTTTATTCTTTCCAGTCTAGTATGTCCCTTCTCAGCAACTGTTAAGTATTACACTGACTACCCCTTCCAGACAACCAGAATGCACTTTGAGTGGAGGCCATTCACATATGGTGACAAATTAAGGAAAGTGTTCCTGGCTATAACCTTAGGGCCTGGGATAGAATGGATACTCAATGAATTTTTTTTGACTGAATGAAGTCTAATGTGGGCAAAGGAGTCCCTGGGTGATACAAATGGTTAACATGGTTGGCTGCTAACCTAAAGGCTGGAGGTCTGAGTCCACTCAGAGTCTCCTCAGAAGAAAGACCTGGCGATCTACTGAAAACCCTATGAAGTACAGTTCTACTGTCACACACATGTGGTTGCCATGAGTCAGAATCCACTTGACAGCAACTGGTTTGATGTGGGCAAGAAAAGTTAATACTTCAAGAAATCATTTCCTTTATTCAATTGATAAATATGTGTTGGCCAACACCATCCCCTGTAGTTTGACTTGTACCAGTTTGAGTTGAAATGGTTTGGAAATACAGGAGGGCCTTGAATTAAAAACCTTCTGCTATATATTCATAATGGGTGAAACCCTGTGCTATAAAGAGGTTAGAAGGAGGATCCTGTTTCTGCCCTCAAGGGGCTTGCTGACTGGCTAGGGAGAAAGAAATGAGCCAGATAGAATGCAGAGCAAAATATGTTATGATGCCAAAGAGAAGTACAAACAGTTAAGGGCATATGGAGGAAGGGAGGCCTCATCAGATAGAGAGCATGGGAAGGGAGGCCAGACCTAGCTGAGGGAGCCATGTGAGCATTGCTTGAAGGCCGGTAGAAAGGACCATCCGGGGCATGATGTGTACTCTCCCCTGTGCAGTCCCTGACCTGGGCCACCTCCCAGTCGTTTGTCAGGGGAGCCCTGGTCAGAGGCCCAGGTCTATAGGCTAATCCCCAAATTCCAGCCTGCTCTGACCACAGAGCTCTCTGAAAGGGCCACACAGTAGTGTGGAAAGGTTCAGAAAAATAGGTGTGGCCCATGTCTGTACTGTTGAATACCATATCATGACAATCTCTTCCTTCTTGCGTCTCCAGGAAACAACAACGATACCCGCCTTGTGTGCCGGGAAATGCGCCGCAACTCCACGGGATGCCTGAAGATGAAGAATCAGTGTGAGAAGTGCCAGGAGATCTTGTCAGTGGGTGAGTCAGGAGGCCAGACTGGAAACTCTCCTCACTATTGCCTTCTCTTTGGGTCACTGGTTCCTCTCTGGGGCTGCCTTTATGGAGTTAGATAGATGGGGGAGTTCAGATTCCCGCTCTACTATCTTCTAACTGTAGCACCATGGCAAGTCCTTAGCCTCACTCAGCCTGATTTCCTCATCTGTATAATGGAGTCAGAGTTCCCGATAGGTACAAATGGTTAACGCACTCAGCTTCTAACTGAAAGGTTGGAGGTTCAAGTATACCCAGAAGTGCCTCGGAAGAAAGGCCTGGTGATCTACTGAAAAATCAGCCATTGAAAACCCTATGGAGCACAATTCTACTCTGAAACACATGGGGCTGCTATGAGTCAGAGTTGACTTGACAGCAACTGTGGGTGTGTGTGTGTGTTTTATGATGAAATTAAAATGCAGGGTTGTCCTGAAGTCAGTGGGACAGTCCTGGCAGTGCCTACCACATCACCTGGCACATGATAAGCAGTAGTACTGTTGTGCTTTTAAAAAGAAAAGCCATCATGCTTTGAGTTTTTGGTCTTCTGATCCCAAGTCCCAAGTGTAGTTGTCATTATTGTTGTTAGTTGCCGTCAAGTAGGTTCTGACTTGTAGTGACCTCATGTACAACAGAATGAGATATTGCCCAGCCCTGCACCATCTTTACAATCGTTGGTATGCTCAAGTCCATTGTTGAGGCCACTGTGTATTTTGAGTGCCTCATCTTCCAGCAGGACTCATCTTCCAGCACTATACTGGCAATATTCTGTTGTGCTCCATAGCATTTTCATTAGCTAATTTTCAGAAGTAGATTGCCAGATCTTTCTCCCTAGTCTGTTTTAGTCTGGAAGCTCTGCTGAAACCTGTCCACCATGGGTGACCCTGTGGGTATTCGAAATACCAGTGACATACCTTTCAGCATCATAGCAACATGCAAGCCCCCACGGTACAATAAACTGACAGACAGGTGGTGGGCCAAGAATAGTAGACATCCTCATTTTTTTCTGTAAATTATAGAATTTTATAGAGCCAGTATATATTTTAACAAATACTTACATGTGTCAGGTACTGTTCTAAACATTTTACAAACATATATTCCTTTCCTTCTGACAACCCTATGGGTTGGGTACATTATTGTCTCTATTTTACAGAAGAGGAAACTGAGTCATGGAAAGGTTAAGTAAGTTGCCCAAGATTATTTCACTCGCAAGTAGGGGAGCTGGGATTCAAACCGAGGTGGTTGCGATATGTTCTTGACCAGTGTGCTGTATTCTCTCCCCAAGCCCCCTGGGGGCCTCTGGCCACCTGGGCTACAGGTAGTGGTATCTTGGCATCCCAGTAATATTTTCTTTGATTGGTTGGTCCTCTATGCGAAGGAAATATTTCGCTTCAGCTGCTCTCAGTTTTATTACATCTGGACATTGACTGAATTCTTCCTACTTTGAGATAACAGATGTAGAAATATTTAGAATAGTTCCTGGTCCATAGTAGCATAAGCTTGGAAAGGGTTAATTGTTTCCCTTGTCAAATAGCTTATCAATCTCGTGGCTTTGCACTTACTTAATATGTTTGGGTTTGCCAGGGCAGACCATGGGAGTCTAGTTAAATATTCTTAGCTTCATTCCTGTAATTTTAGAAGCCACTGCAAAATAAATACTAGTGCCATAAGAAGTGCCTCAAGTAAGAAGTATAGAGTAGTACACAATTAAGCCTCTTGGGCATTTCTCAGAAAATATAATAGTTATTATAGCATAAATTATATGGTGCCTCACTATAAGAAAGTTAATCAAGTTAGGGCAAGAAAGAAAGATTTACAGATGCCTAGGATGTATAGCTTGGTACCTTTGACATTGATCTAAACATTGAACTAAACACTGGCCTTCTTTTCTACATTGAGCAAGACGTACTACTTCTTATTTATGGTGCTTGCAACCATATGAGGTCCCTGGGTAAGCGCAAACAGTTTGTTCTTGGCTGCTAGCCTAAAGGTTGGTAGTTTGAACCCAAAGCCCTGGTGATCTGCTTTTGGAAAGATTACAGCTAAGAAAACCCTACAGAGCTCAGTTCTACTCTCTAACACATGGGGCGACTTGATGGCAATGGATTTGTTTGTTTGTTTTGCAACTATATGAGCATGCACTGAAGAGGAACTCTAGGATTTCTCAACTTTAGCACTATTGACATTTTGGGCTGATGATTCTTTGTTGTGGGAAGCTGTCCTGTACATTGTAGGTCGTTTAGCAGCTTGCCAGGTCTCCACCCACTAGATGCTGGTAGCACTTCCTCCTGAGTTGTAACAATCAGAATGTCTTTGGACACTGCCAAATGCCCCCTGGGGGGAAGAATTGCCCCCAGTTGAGAACCACTCCTGTAGCCTGGGTCTCAGCTCTCAAAGACTTTTCTTATTTTTTAATTTTTCCTCAGTAAAGGTTAAGGTTATTTATTATATTTTTCTCAGCCTGGTTCCTTTTTAGTAATCCCTTTTCTTGTCCCACATAATGTTTTATTTTCTTTTAATATAAATGATTGTAGTCAACCATCTGAAGGGTACAAAGATCTCCTTTCCCCTGACTTCTTTAGGTTTGATGAACCCTCTAGATGTTTTTCCTCCCTCTGGTTATTTTTAAAATCGTTTAGGGGAAGAAAAACAGTAGTTTTAAAAGAGATAGATAGTAGTTTCCAGCTCTAATAAATATTACATCCTGCAATAGGCACTTGGGAACCAAAAGAATGAGCTCTCCTGATGAGTTTGGTGAGCAGCTGTGGGTGGGCAGGTGGGCATGTAAGGACTCCCTGCCACTAGGCTTCAATGCTGGGGAAAGCTTTGTGGCCTGAGTGTCCTTCTGCTGCATGGGCCAGAATCTCCAACTCTGTAGATATGCTCAAAAGACAAGCTGGAAGAATGACCCAGAACCACAGACCCATACAGTAGGAAGAGCCCAAGTTTAAAGACTTGGGTTCAATCCTGGCCCCACGAATCATTAGTTCCATGACTTTAGGCAAGGTCTTTACTTCCATAGGGTCGCTATGAGTCAGAATCGACTTGACAGCAATGTTTTGTGTTTGTTTGTTTTTTTAATTTTTTTACTTCTGTAGGCCTCAGTTTCATTCTTGGTAAATAAACCATCGAGTCAGTTCCAACTCTTGGGGACCCCATGTGTGTCAGAGGAGAACTGTGTTTCACAGGGTTTTCAATGGCTGATTTTTTGGTATTAGATCACTGGGCCTTTCTTCCGAGGCACCTCTGGGTGGACTTGAACCTCCAGCCTTCATTTAACAGCTGAGTGCGTTAGCCATTTGCACCACCCAGGGACTCCTATTAGTAAGTAGGAGTGTTAATGCTTAAATCATAGTAGATCTGATTTTTAGAGAAAATGTATATTCAAAGCACCTTACAAGGTGTCTGGTACATAGTAGGTGCTGCACAAATGGTAGCAATAAGTAATATTTCCTGAAATTATTCCTGAGAGGGACTAGGACAGCAAGAATAGTTCCTAGTCTGAGAACACAGAAGACTCTAGATCAGTGCTATTCAAAGTGTGTTCCTTCACTCAACACTGTTACCAGTCCCCAAGGAGATAAAGGACCTTTACCTAAATATAAGTGAGTTATGCAACCAAGCACAGTTTAATGCAGCTGATAATTTTTTCCAGAGCAAGACTTTCTCGATAAAGGAAGCAGCAGGTTGCTTTACCTTCTTGTGCAAGCTCTTTATTTTGCTGTGGATTGGTAACAAATGGTTGTGGACCGCTGCTTGGAATAGCACTGCGTTAGATCCCAGCTGTGTGAGCCGATTGTCATTCATGTTCTTATTCCTGTTTGCCTTCCCTTCACATTTCTGCCCCCTCCCCTTTTAAATCTCCGTGCAGACTGTTCTGCCAGCAACCCCGCTCAGGCCCAGCTGCGACAGGAGCTTAAGACTGCCCTCCAGATGGCTGAGAAATTCACCAAGCAATATGACGAACTGCTCAAGTCCTACCAGCAGAAAATGTTTAATACCTCCTCCCTGCTGAGCCAGCTGAACCAGCAGTTTAGTTGGGTGTCCCAGCTGGCTAACCATACCCAAAATGACAAACAAGCCTATCTCCAGGTCTTCTCGGTGAGTCCTGCCCCCACCACACACTGAAAGAATAGCCTCTTATTCTCTATCTATATTGTACCCATTTTCATGGTCCAGCTTCCTTCGTAAAACCTTCCTGAGCATTCCACAAAATAGTGGCTATTTTATCTTCTCTATCATTCATTAGGTACCCTGGTGGCATAGTGGTTAAGCTCTTAGCTGCTAACCAAAAAAATTGGCGATTGGAACCCACCAACTGCTCTGTGGGAAAAAGATGTGGCAGTCTGCTTCTGTAAAGGTTTACAGCATTGGAAACCCTGTGGGGCAGTTCTACTGTGTCTTATAAGGTTGCTATGAGCTAGAATTGACTTGTCGGTGATGAGTTTTATCATTCATTACCCATATATTATATTGTCTTGTCAGTTGTCATTTTACCTAAGATTTATCTGGGGACCCAAGCTGGGGTCTGTAGGTGATGTGAGCCTCCCTTAGGAATAAAATGGGACTAAGATATTAACAAGGGCACGTATAGTTTTGACTGCGTCAGGAACTATATCGTGTTAGAAACTAAAATCGTTGCATATATTGTTACAATGAATTCTCATAACTTAGGGAGGTAAATTATGATGATCCCATTTTACAGATGAGGAAAGTAAGGTTAAACAACTTGCCCAAGGTCAAATAATTGATTGGTGATAAGCATGGGGATTTTTACCTGTCTGCCTGGCTTCCATGTCTGTACTCTTTTCACAAAGCTGCCTTGCTGCCCTGCGCCTTGCAGAATGGCTTATGAATTGGAGCATTGTTCTCTGCCTATAGTAAAAAGCCTCTCTCTAGCACCTGGAGCCTGGTTTTTTGTTTGTTTTTTCTTCTAATTCTCTTCTACCACAGGCCTGGCCCGTGACTGCTCAAAGAAAACATGGTGGCATTTTTTACTCTCTGTGCTCCCTCTAGGCTGGTCATTTGTGGATGGCATTTGTACTACTAACAAGTGTCTGTGAATTTGGGCATTTCTGTTTGCTGAGTTGTTCAGAGGTCTGGATTACTAAAAAGCAAAGGGGTCACCTATCCAGGTTTTCATGAAGGATTAAAGAGAACTTCCATATCATAAGCCTAACTTATGTTACAAACTAACTGCATTTTGACTATAACGTTTCAGCTACCCTCTTAACCTTTTTTCCTTCTAGGTAACTTCCAAAACTACTGACTTGGATAACTCTTCCAAGCTTGGGGACACTGAGGTGGTTGTGAAGCTGTTTGATTCTGACCCCATGACTATGATGGTCCCGAAAGAAGTCTCCTGGAGGCGGCCTAAATTTATGGAGATTGTGGCAAAGAAAGCCCTGGATGAGTTCCGCAAAAACAACCAGTGAGTGTGGGGGTCTTTACAGCTCTCAGGTTCCTGGGAGCAAAAAAAAAATGAAAAGAGGCACAGTTTGGTGAGAATTACTGCTTCTGAAGCCAGAGCCCAAGAATGGAGCCAGGAAACCTTTGGGAGTTTTATTTTTCCTTTGGAATATGTTCCTTCTTAGTTGATAAGAATTTGAGTGTTGTTGGCTGCCTCTCCGTGAATATTGAGCCCTTCTCTTTTCCACCCTTTTTTTCCAGAGAGGAAAAGTGAGATGTGAATGCTGCTTTTCCATGTATGGGGCATCTGAGTCCAGTCCTCCTGAAATAAGTCCCAGGCCCCAGAGAGAACTCTGCATGTTATCAAGTACTAGGCCCTGGGCTCTAGGCCCTCCCCACCTGACCCCACCTGCTCGCCTCCCTTCTGGATTCTGTACTCTAATGCCTGCACTTGCTGCTAGTGGGAAGAACTTCTTCCACATGCAACTAATTCAATAAAACTGCATTGTGTGATCTAACTGCTCTAGAGTGACCTGTTTTTATGCTCTGCTTGTCTACCTCCCCCTCCTCCAATTTGATTTAAAAAAGAAAAGAAAAAAAGAGTGGCAAAGATGGTTAAAAAAAAAACAAAAACAAAAACCAAAACCAAATCGGTTGCCATCCACTCGATTCCAACTCATAGCGACCCTATAGGACAGAGTAGAACTGCCCAATAGGGTTTCCAAGGAGAGGCTGGTAGATTCAAACTGCCAACTTTTTGGTCAGCAGCTGTAGCTCACCGTAGCTCTTAACCACTGTGCATAGGGACTATCATATACTTGAGAATAAAAGAGGTACGAAGATGAAGTTGACCCAATTCAAGCATTTTTTGCTTTGAGGGAGAGATGAATCCCAGCAAGCCAACTACAATAAATTTCTGAAAAGCACATTTTTCTATTCCATTATAAAATTGTAGAAGTATTCTAATTGGAGAGAAACTTCCTGAAGAAATACATTGAAAATAAGGTTGAAGAAGAAGTAATAATAAATTCACAGGCATACTGAGTATTTTAATAATACAAAGTGACAGCTTCCTTATGGAAACTGTAGTCCCCAAAAGACAAAATGAGGCAGTTTTTTTTTTTAGTTGTATGAGCTTGGGGTCGCTCTGGTCCCTCCTTGACTCTGGCATTGTTTGTCCACTGTCAGTCCATACAAGCTTTATATCTTTCCCTAGACCACAGGAGATCCTTCTTTGCTTAAGTTTTTTTATTTTTTTATTTTTTTAATTGTACTTTACATGAAGGTTTACAGAACAAATAGTTTCTCATTAAACAGTACACATATTGTTGTATGACTGGTTAACAGCCCCATGACATGTCAACACTCTCCCTTCTCGACATTGGGTTCCCTATTACCAGCTTTCCTGTCTCCTCCTGCCTTCTAGTCCTTGTCCTGGGCTATTGTGCCCCATTAGTCTCGTTTTATTTTATGGGGCTGTTTAATCTTTGGCTTAAGGGTGAACCTCGGGAGTGACTTCATTACTGAGCTAAAAGGGTGCCTGAAGGCCATACTCTGGGGGTTTCTCCAGTCTCCGTCAGGCCAGTAAGTCAGTCTGGTCTATTTTTGTGAGTTAGAATTTTGTTCTACATTTTTCTCCAGCTCTGTCTGGAACCCTCTGTTGTGATCCCTGTCAGAGCAGTCAGTGGTGGTAGCCAGACACCATCTGGTTGTACTGGACTTAGCCTGGTGGAGGCCGTGGTAGTTGCGGTCCATTAGTCCTTTGGACTAATATTTCCCTTATATCTTGTTTCCTTCATTCTCCCTTGCTCCTGAAGGGGTGAGACCAGTGGAGTATCTTAGATGGCTGCTTACAGGCTTTTAAGACCCCAGATGCTACTCACCAAGGTAGAATGTAGAACATTTTCTTTATAAACTATGTTATGCCAGTTGAGCTAGATGTTCCCTGAGAC